CCTCCCTTTTGAATGATATTTAATTTTTACAAATATAACTCTCCAACATCCACTTGTGAGACACAACATGACAAGTCTTTGAGGGAAGAGGCTGTCCGTGAGGGGCTTCATGAGATCTAGAAACTCTAATTCACGGACAGACAACTCTCCCACCTCAAAGAAGGAAACTTAGAGTTGCTCAACATTTATAGAGCCTATTAAATAGCAGTAAATCCCATCTAGGTGTTTTAAGTGAGTTGGTGCATCTTCACATAGGTGCCATTTTAAAATATTAGCTAATTAAATGAAATCTAAAACCTGTTGTCCTTTCACATTTTTCCCCCATGAGACACAACAGTGATAAATGTAGGAAAATTTAAATGACAAGTTACATTCTCTTTGTCAGAGCTGTTTTTATCCCTAGTGTGAAATCAGAGATTTTCATCTCAACTTTGTCCTTTAACATTTTTCAAATGTTACATTGTGCTATTTTTAATCCTGGAAAAAATGCACATGATTGCTTTTTTTTTTTTTTTTTTTTTTGAAGTCTCCATGCATGGTATCTCTTGACTAGTAGGAATCTGAATTGGTGAAATGCCCAAATACTAATATAGAGCCAAATAAAGGAAGAACCTGCTCACTTGAAGCCAGGGTAAGCACGTAAGTGTGTCCTTTCATGGTTTTGATACTGTACTCTAGCTATGCACGGTGCTCACACTGGGGAGGCTGAGTGAAGGGTACATGGGACTTTCCTGTACATTTTTGTAACTTCTTGTGAATCTATAAGTATTTCAAAATTATTTTTTTTTAAAAAGTGAAGCAGCCCCCCAGATAGCCCGCACACACAGAAGCGTTGGGCTGTATTCCTGAGTGTGGTCGTGTATGGCACGTGGCCCTTCAGGATCAGGGCGACCACCTCACCCCCCGGAAATTCTGGCTCAGCCGGGGGGCGAGGTGGGGCCCAGGCACCCACAGGCACCTCCGGAGAGCGCCCCCGGCACCCACCCCCACTGCCCTAGCCCGACCCCCGAGGCAGAGCCCGGGAGAAAGGTGTGGAGGGCCTCCCGAAGCCCCCCCTGGGCACAACCCTTCTGGGCTCGGAGGCTCCGGGGCTCCCGGACGGACGGACGGACGGACGCACTCCTGATGCGCGGTGCCCAGGCTGTGAAGTCAAGTCACTGTGAGACCGGCACGTGCAGCCAGCTTGATCATTACCCAGCTCACACGCCCGACTCCCCGCTCCATCCTCAGAAAGGAAAGTGCTCTCCCCGTGGTACTTCGGTTTCCCAAAGAGAGGCTCCCAAGCGACCCAAGGATAGAGTTAGGAATCACTGGAAATGGCAACCCGCTGATAAAGTTCTAAAAGACTCAAAGCCTTAAAAAATGTATTTGTCTGTAAGAGAAAATAAATGACAGCTAAAAATCTCAAGGCATGTAACCTGTTAACTTTAGGTTTTAACAGTTTTCAGACAGGAGCTTAAGACTTGTCACAAGTCACCACTTGTAGGTGAATTTTGTACTTTGTAATAATGAGGTACAGATGAAGGGTTTTGTTGCCTTGCTTTAATGCTTTAAATTTTTTTGTAATAATCCACCTTTATGTTACCCTGTTGAGAGCTTGTGTTTTAAAACTCTTGCTTCGTTCTCTTACCTGAATCTTTAAGAGGGAAAAAAAAAGGTAAAAATTAAAATATCTGGGAAATAAGTCCGGGTACATCCAACTTTAGAAAATATCCGCCTTGGTTCTTTTGGAATGCTTGCCTCAGTGGAGCCAAGTCTCGACAACTTCACGTTCACATTGTGTTTTTCTTTAAAAACTAACAAGTAATGCTTTTTAAAAATATTTTTTCTTGGGGCGCCTGGGTGGTGCGGTTGGTTAAGCATCCGATTCTTGGTTTTGGCTCAGGTCATGATCTCAGGGTTGTGGGACTGAGCCCCATGTCGGGCTCCATGCTCAGTGCAGAGTCTGCTTAAGACTCTCCCTTCCTCTCCCTCTCCCTGTCTCTCAAGTAAATAAATAAAATATTAAATATATATATTTTTTTTCCTTATAATTGTAAGCTAATTTATTTGGATGGTTAAAATATTGGTTTAAACACCTGGTCTTTTTTACCTTAAGCTCCAATTCAGTATTAGATGTGCTCCTGTGTATTTCATGACCAGGACTATCTGGCTGTTGGGTGATTCATAAACTTTCCTGAAATATCTGAGCTCCAGGTCTGGCTCTTAGCTCTTAACCTGGGAGTTGTTTCCATCATAGAGTTCTCAGAGGCATGTTTCAGAGGTAAAGGATGCCAGTTCATTGACTCATCCTGTTCATCTGGATGTCTTTAGAATGTGAAGTGTTTTTCCAGAATGATTTCGCAAGAAAGGCCACCTGAGATGTTGCTACCATAAGGACGTTGTACCCACTCTCCTATTAATGACAATTTTATATATTACTTGTATTCAGAGTTCCCTTAAAGCAAACATATTAAAGAAATTATGGAGGTAATTTTGGTGTGGGCTATATAACTTTTCATCTTCTGATAATTTTGTAAACTTATCAGTAATTTTAATGTAAGATACAAGAGAATATGTGAAGCAAGAGCAGAGTTGCTTTATTATTCATGACTGAGAAATAGTTGCATTGAAAATGCTGCTGGCAAGTCAAAGGACACTGATAGCATTAACACACATGACAATTTTTCTGGAGAGAAAGCTTTATCCGGCCTTTGAGTTAGTAATTTTATTCTTTGTTTTTAAAAGGCTGCCATATTCACTTGAGCTCCATGGGAAAGGTGCAAATAACTAAAAACAAACAAACAAAATGAACAAAAACAAAAACAAATGTGGAGGTCAGGAACTCATTTCCAAGAAAGCAGCTTATAGGTCTTCTAAAGGGAATGACAAACCACCTGGCATCCACACATATGTCAGCAGCACAGTATTCAGCAGGATTGATCAGTATAATATCCAGTACTCAGATGTCACCAAGACAGTGCTTTGATACGTGCTACGGATTCTGTTTAGGGATAAACAAGTGCATGGTACATTTTAGCGCTATTTCCATCAAAAGTCCCCCTGTCTTTGAGTTAAACTGAAGTTAACAGAAATCACGTGTTTCCCAAGTGGTAGGAATAATTAAGTATTGCTGTGGATTCCATGTCTGTCTAAAGCCTCAACGAATTGCTACCCATTGTAGAATACACAGCATTTGGGCCTACCACTGCCTGGATTGAGACCTGCTGAGGGTGCCCTGTGCTTTAAAAAAAAAAGAAAGAAAGAAAGTTTAAGAAGACAGTCCAGAGAGCAGTCTCTTAAATCTCTTGCTTTTTGAATACATAAAACTGTTGATGCCAAGCAGGGCTTTTCCAGAAATGCTCTGTAGTGTGGGGGAGGGGATTCTGGCATGCACAGTTGTAGGACGACAACAGAGGAAAAAGTGCCCAAACCCAGTGCTTCCAGAGAAGGTGGTAGTACAGGGGCTGTATGGACTTGACATTTTCCCTGGGGCAACAAATATGTATTCTGCCTACTATGGACCAGATACTGTTCCAGTTACGGGGGATATAGGATGTGACCAAAGCAGGTGTATGTCTTTATGGAGCCCCTGGTCTAGGGGAGGGGACAGTGGGAGTCCAACAGTAAACAAAGAAGTATACATATAATCTGTCAGATGGTCATAAGTAATAGGGGGAAATAAAATGGGAAGGAGAATAAGGGGTGCTGTTCTGGGGGGGTGGAATAGCATGTAGTTTTTCTATAGGGTGTCAGAATAAGTCTCACTGATTAAGGTTACATTTGGGCAGAGATGCGAAAGAAGTAAAGGGGAAAGCCATGGAGGAAAAGGATTCCAGACAGCTGGATGGCAGGTGGAAAGGCCCTGATGTTGGTCTGTGCTTGATACTTTGGGGGAATAGCACTGGAGGCCAGTGTGGCTGGAGTGGAGTGAGCAATGGGAGAGCAGAGGCCTGATAGGGGCTGTGGCCAGAGGGCGGACAGCCATATGCAGGCTATTGGACAGACTTCTGCTTTGACTCCAAGTGAGATGGAAAGCCACAGGAGGATTTGGGGCAGGAGAATGACTTGAGCTGACTTAGGTTGTGACACCATTACTCTGACTTTAGAGGTAAAGAGGAGAGTAGGGGACCAGTTAGGAGGTTATTATAATGATGCAGGTGGGAGATGGTTGAGGCTTAGACCGGGGTGGTGGCAGTGAGTTGATGAGGATAACACCAAGGTTTTGGGCTCAACTAGAAGGATGGGGCTGCCATCTACTGAAATGGGGAGGCTGTAGGAGGAGCAGGATGGGAGGCGTTCAAGGGTTTGGCTTTGGATGTGTTAACTTCGGAGTCCTCCTCTGGAGGCAGGCTGGAATTGTGGAGCGGTCCCTTGGACAGCCAAGTGTGCAGATCCAAGTTGGGGCTGGAGAGCCATAGGTACTTAGGAGTCACTAGAGTATAGATGGTATTTGAAGCTGTGAAATTCATCAATATCGCCTCCAGAGTGAGCACAGAGAGAGAAGAGAGGTCTGGGTCCTGTCATTTCACAGAGATCAGGGCATTGATTCAGAATTCACAGAGAACCATTAATTAAGAATTTTCCTAATGTCCTTTTTAAATAAACATGTCATTGTTCCCTTTTGAGACAGTTGTCTAATAATGATTCCTGAATTTCCTTTTTTTTTTTTTAAAGTGACTTTTACCTGATCAATTGCTAATACTGTTCAAAATGGATAGATGTGTTTTGGTCTAGAAACCTGATTTTTGTGGAACATCATTTTAAAAAGGACAAATTAAAAGAGATGTTTGTAGCCATAGAAAATTGAGGTCTCAGAAGTAATGATAACTCAAGCTAGAAGGTAGCATTAAGTCCAGTCTGTATTTTCCACTCTTACTCCTTTTTGAAAGTCTCGCTTTGGATTGTGATTTCATGGTAGGCAAACCTGGTGGGTGAAAACTCGGAGGATGTAGTATTAGTAGACTGTTAGTTCCGTCATGTGGAACTTTAAATTCTTTTTTTCCTTTTGCCTTTTCTAGCCCATATTTGCGTTTCTAAATGAAGAAAAGTTTAACGTGGATGGGTGGACAGTTTATAATCCAGTCGAAGAATACAGAAGGCAGGTAAGTCATGTGGTGAATCGCAAACATGCCGGGTGACAATATGTTGTTGGTCATGCTCTTTGAGCATCAGTGAAATCCTTGCAAAGTCTAGCTTAAATGGCAGTTATAGCTTATTTTATCGATTACTCTGTAATTTATGAGCTCATTCCATAGCCATATGATATGTTGTTCATGAAATGAATCAAATATTTGGAGTCTAGAAGAGTCAAACTTCTATACCTTACTATTTAGGAGTTCATGTCACTATATATTTACGTATCCAGGAGCTTAACTATCACTGACAGCTAGATTCAAATTATATTTATTCTGGTTTGCAGATTGAAATGAATTAGAACAGTTTCCCTGTAATGATGACTTTTCCAAGAAAACTTTGATGAATGTATATCAAAATTGCTTTTATTGCTCTCTTCTGTAGACTTCACCCACGTGCATGATTATGTGCTATAACAAAGGCAAGAGGCTTGATACAGTGTTGCTGTTCAGGGACAAAGGTCTCTTGTGGCATTTTGTGAAGAAGAGCCTGTGCATTTTATGTACAAGAGCCACAATTTGACCTCTGGTTTAACCAAATCTGTAGGCCAGCTAGGAGTTATGTGATGGAGTTTTTCACAGTTCTCATCCTATACAGCTTTTAAAATAATTGGGAACTTTTGTCGAGTGAGCTTTGAGAATCAGATCAAGCCCAATTGCCTTATATGAAAAGGCAGTGAATGTAAAGTAAAATCTTAGAACCCTAGACTTGAGAAGAACCTTCTAGCCACCACCTCCACTACCAAGCACCCGCACTGATTTTTTTTTTTTAGCCTTGACCAGTGGTGTACATATTTGTAAGCAGATTCGATGCTCAGGAATGAGGGTGCAGGAGTTAAAAATCACATGCATGAGGTGGTACATCCTCTGCAGCTTCAGACTGTTAAGTTTTCAAAGGCTATATATACCTCTCATTTTAATGACCTTTGTTCTGGGTCAGTTGTTGAGGCAGAAGGAAGACCATGAAAACATTTTGCATGTTCTGGAGACCTCTGTAGCAGTATGTATTTAAGTATCTGTACCTTAGTTTTGGAGTGTTGCTGACAATATTAAGACTTATTTTTTAGATCTATTTTTGTAGCTTGAAACAAGACAGTTCATGTTTAAGATTGCATGCATATACGAACTATTGAAAGGTATCTTGTTTTAGACTGCCATTATATTTCATCTTTTCTTCTTATAACTTTCTCATGGGACTTAAAACTCTCTAATTGGACTCAGCATCAGACTCACCTGTTTGGTCCGTGGTCTATAGGACCAGACCTAAGGAAAAGGTACAATGTCTGTCCCCAAAGCAAGCACCCACATAGCTCACCTTTGTGTGTGTATTTGTGTATTTGTGAGTATGGGGAGAGAATATTCCACCACCTCTGGATCTTGTCCATACTAGATATGGTTTTGTGGGTGGATGACAGGATGGGAGGTGTACTCTGTGTCTCCCTGTCACATTAGTAGTGTGCTTAGAATGCAGATGACTGTATTTCTCACACAACCTACAGAGTGATCACCGATCCCAAACCACTTGATTGAAAAAACTTTTAGGAGGTGGCGAAATGAGCCTCCCCAGAGGGGTTTTCCTCTATTTCCCCTCTGTGACTTTCTTCATAAACTTAACCTCTTTCTACTTTGGAGCAGACCGAAGCATTCACTCTGTTTTGCGTAGGGATAGGAAGTAGCCCGATCTCTTTCTACCATCAGTTAGACACAGGTTGAAACTACATGATGCACTTTTCTTTGGGGTGGGGGTGGGGTACACAGGTGGGCAATGAACTTGGGTTTATCTTTATTGTACAAGTAGTAAGAAATAGTTTGACATGAAATAAAGGAAGATCTCAAATTCAAGAGAATCTCTATTGACCAATGGTATTTCAGAATTATGGGAACCACCAGTGTTTTGTCTTGTGTTCTTCTGTTGTCTGGATTACGGATCTGGCTCCCTTTAGTACAAATGGTAGACTGTCCCTACCCTGTGGTCAAAGAGGCATGTGCAGATTCTGCTAGAAAGAAGGAAGGAGAGCCAAGGCCAAATCCAGAGATGAAGTTGTACAGTACTGACTTGGACTTCCTTTTTTCCTACAGGGCTTGCCCAATCACCACTGGAGAATAACTTTTATCAATAAGTGCTATGAACTCTGTGACACTTACCCTGCTCTCTTGGTGGTTCCATATCGTGCCTCAGATGACGATCTCAGGAGAGTTGCAACTTTTAGATCCAGAAATCGAATTCCAGTGAGTACTACAGTTAGTTTACCTCAAAGATTGCCTTTTATCCCCTAAGAATAGTAGTTAAGTCAGAGAAACACTCTTGGAATTTCAATCCACCATATAATTTTTAAGTGCCTTCTGAGTGCAAAGTACTATGCCAACTGGGAAAAGAAGTAAGACAGCACCCATCTTCCAGAGCTCACAATCAAGGTCAGAGAATGAGCGTAAACTAATTGTCATATGAGAGAGGGTATAAATAATGCATAGATCAACCAAGTGCTAGCTGGAAGGAAAGAAGGAAGGACAGGGGTTTTATGGTTTTCACCTTTGTAGTACCATACCTGATATGTGACGGGCTCTCCATGAGCGTCAGCTGAATCATACTGGAAATGACACGCTGCCTGTCTTCTGTTAGAGCACATGAGTGCTGGCTCTAGTAGGTCTAGCTCGTCCTCATCACATTTGCAAGCTGCCTGAATGCCATTAGCAAACTGGAGCCAAGTGCAGATTATTCCAGACAGTATACTTACGGTATCATTGGACCTAGTTCACAAAGTTCTCTTTGGCTCTTAAATATTTATGTATGAGTCATACCGTCTACTTTGTGTGCATAAATTTTATTGACTAAAAATTTAGAGAATTTTTTCCCCTCTTAATTTTCAGGACATGTCATAATAAGTACATTGTTTTGTTTTGGTTTTCTAAATAACAGATTTTGGAAAAATAAGGCCTGAAGAAATTAAGATTTAATGTCACCTTGCCTTTAACTCCAAGTCTAGAAATTTTTGTCCTTAAAAGGACATTTGTGTGGAACTTTTGTATAATGTCAACATAATAGGAATCACAACTTTTAAAATTCACTCGCTCCTCTAATTATGAGTAGAAATCTGTTCATATGTTAATGATCTATATCATACTTGAACATATGTTTTTTAGGTCATTTTGCTAGAATGTAGTGCCAATGAGGCTAGAGTTACAAGTTTACTTACTCCTCTTCTGCTCCGTTGTGACATACTTTTCTGTGCCATAGCTATAGACTCCACCCCTGTCTCGCCTACAGGAGAACTAGGCTAGGGTAGTGTGGATCGATTTTGTTCACGCCTTCATTCAGTTGAACATTGACCGTGTCATGCGGGCGCGAGCGTGTGTGTGTGTGTGTGTGTGTGTGTGTGTGTGTGTGAATTCATGGGATTTGGGGCAGGAGAGGAGATGAAACAGCTGTGCCCAGTCCACTGTGGACCTACTATTCTCCACTATCCTGAGTGAATGAAAGTCTACCGTAGAGCCAATAGAATGCTTAACTTTTTACTTATTTAGCCATTTTATTGATCCTTCTTACTTCATAACGGCCACCAGTCTGCCTTTATTTTTCCTAATAAAGGCTAAGCTCTCCATCATGTCTATATCTTTATAGATTACCATGCTTAAGAATATTTAAGAGTAGGGTGCCTGGGTGGCTCAGTTGGTTCAGCGACTGCCTTCGGCTCAGGTCATGATCCTGGAGTCCCCGGATCGATTCCTGCATCGGGCTCCCTGCTCGGCAGGGAGTCTGTTTCTCCCTCTGACCCTCCCCCCTCTTGTGCTCTCTCTCATTCTCTCTCCCTCAAATAAATAAATAAAATCTTTAAAAGAAAATATTTAATAGTAGATAATGTAGTCTTTCTGATACACCTTCTAACCACCTGACTCTTGACTATACCCCAGAAAATGTATTTGATTTTAATGTGAAGTCATTAATATTTGCTATTCAGTTCTTTTTTAAAAGCCCATATAAAAATACAAAAGGAATTGATGAGAAAGCAATCTTGTTATTTTGTGCATAAATAGGACATAAACAATTGTAAGGTATTGTTGAATAACAAAATGATCCACGTGCATCAGTGTTCCCATTAATGCATACATCTGTTCTTATATGCATCCCTGTGTTCTCAAACAGGTTTGTCTTAAAGTTACAGAAGTCCTTACATATAAGTAATACATAGTTATTTTAGATACGTAACAAAATGCCGATAAGCAAAACAGGAGTCTGCCCCCTAGTGAGAACCACAGTTAACATTTTGGTCTACGTTCTTCCAAACTTCCTTCTATGCAGACATAGTTTTATTTAAAAAGATGAAATTATTCTGTAATCTGTGCCTCAGTCCGCTTTCTCTGCGTAGCATCGTCTTGGAAAGAGATGAGTGTGTGCAAGGGTTTCGCTGTACCCTGCTGTAGTATATCCGTTCTCTGTTGTAAGACATCTGGGTTCCTTTTAATCTTATACTATTATAAACAGTGCTGCGATCAACATCTTTTGGTGGCTAAATATGTGTGTACATCCTTAATTATCTATGGCTTCTAGATACTAACCTTAATCGGAACAACCTTTGAAAGCAGTCATGGTAGTTGGTGTTATGAAGTGATCATTCTTTATACCTGTGAGTCAAACAGCAAGCATCCTTTTTAAGAAGATAGTCGCGATCCCAAAAGAAAAAGAAAGAAAGAAGCAAAACAGCTTAAAAGAGTAGCATTTCTTAACGGCATGGTGATTCCAGCCTTAAATCTCCCAGGCAGGGAGAGGAGGGATGGAGGGAGGGAGGGCACTGTGGTGGCACACGGCAGTTTCTGGCCTAGGACCTGATTTAAATTTAAAAGTTGGTGCGGGTGTTTATCAAATAACAAGCCTCTTGTATGTGTAGCAGTGTGCTCTTTTAAAGGTGATCTTGTATCAAATCCACATGTTGTGCAGCTTAAACTTACAGTGTTGTAGATCACTTATATCTCAGTAAGCCTGAAAAATGAAAAATACATACATACATGCATAAAAGGAATCTCCTGTCTCTTACCTGTCTCGAAACAAGGGCCACAGGAGGCAGGCTGGGCCGGTGTCACCTCCATGTTGTTGCTTGGAAAATGGAGGTCCAGGAGACCAGTGCTTGTCCCAGGGCTTCCCAGTTCTGAGCCTTTGGATTCTTAGGGGCCACAGTGGTGTTTTTACTGGTCTCTGGCATGGCACAAAGACTCAGTGAATGAGTACTCATTCACGCTACTGTATAATCTTTTCTCACTAACTTGTTGTCACTATTATGCACATCAGTTTTTATGAACATCAGTGCTTATCATTTGCCATCATGGAGGGGGTGACTTCAGAGATGACAACGCATTTGGCCTTGTAGTAAGTGAGCTTCTTCAGTTCTTGCGTCTGCTTTTCACAATTTTCCCTATCTGACTTCACAGGCCAAACTGTGAACTGGCCTGCCCCTGGAATGTACTTTACATGTGTTCTTCGCCCATCCCCCCAGCAGGGCCATGGAGTCATGTTCCCCCACCCCCATTTGATGGAGGAGAGGGGAGCGACAGAGGCTGTGAGCTCCGTGCCCAGGTTACAGCCACAACAGAGATGTGCTGCCCCCAGAGCCCACACTGTTGCCCACCACAGTCAACTCCTGGCTCCCTTTTTGTTTTGTTTTGTTTTGTTTTTAACAGCTTTGAGATCTAATTCACCTACCAAACAACTCACCCACTTAGAGTGGACACTTCCATAGTTTTTATTGTATTATATTGTTAGCTACCTTTTACAGGTGGTGTTTCTCCTGCACCGCGAGCTTAGAAACCAGGTAACCCCCATGCTAGGCTTATGTGCACAGCTTCATTGTGGGACCTCTGGCAGCTCTGTGGTCATCCTGAGAGCTTGTTTGTTTGTTTGTTTGTTTTTTTGGCTTCCCTTGGGTTTTTCTCCCCACTATGTGAGATTCTAGAATTGAGACTGTGGGGGAGATGACCTGTAGAAGTGAGTTGGTCTTATAGAAACACATTATAGCAGAGATGATTTCCATTAGGTCTCACTTCTTGCTAAAGCTTGTTTCTGTCTGAGAAATCCAGTGCAGGCTACAGAACTGAAGTAGTATCAGAAGCTTTTTATTCCCTTTAAGTGATAGAACTTTTTTTTAGGTAAGCATTTAACCTCTACGAGATGTGGTGCTAATTAAGAAAAGACTAGTAAAGCAATTGGTTATTCTAGTTGTCTCTGAATAGTCCTCATTGTGCACACGTAATAAGTATTCTCTTCTGGCCAAATCAGACTCACTTCATCATGATTGTTTGTGCTTTATTATTTTTTTTTTATATTTCTAACAGTTTTGAGGTTTGTTTTTTTTCTTGATAGCTTAAAATTTCTGAACTCACCATAGGTGCTGTCATGGATTCATCCAGAAAACAACACAGTCATCGTGCGTTGCAGTCAGCCTCTTGTCGGTATGAGTGGTAAACGGAATAAAGATGATGAGAAGTATCTCGATGTTATCAGGGAGACTAACAGACAAATTTCTAAACTCACAATCTATGATGCAAGACCCAATGTAAATGCGGTGGCCAACAAGGTGAGTATATTTAGTGACACGCTAGATGCTTATCTTACGGCTAGCATGCCATGCTTTACGTGAATGTTTTTGCACGGTGTGTCAACATGTGGGCTTACATTAATAGTTAAACTTAGTTGAAATGGGAAAACTGGTTTGCTGAGGTAGGAAGTAGTTTTAATCACAAAATGTATCTTGAAAGTTGAATCTATTAAGATCAAATGAGAATAACCTTTAGGTAAGTTAGGTGGGTATAGAACTGTAATGAACTTCAATTTTGGCAAAAGTTGGAGTCTCTTTGGAGCTCTTTAGGCTGTTCTTGATCCCTCTTGATATATAGACTGCTGAAGCATCTACGAGGAGTTGTGGGAAGCCGAAATTGTTAAAATCCTCAATCTGTAGCTTTATCCAGACGGTCTCTTCACTATCCTTATGAATGGGTCTTCTCATTTGTAGAAGATAATTGAAGAAATGAGTAGATCTCTGTACATGGATTTTATAGTCATGTGCACACAGTGTTACTGTTTTCAAAGAAAATCTGTCTCCGTTGTCTTCTTGGCCTTCGTACGCAGAGTATGCTGAGTGCCCCTGAAGTTGATCGGGGTCATCATTGTGAACATCAGTGACTAGGTAGTGTCGCTTTCAGAAGCTTCCACAGAATCTGCCGCAATGTATAAGGCCATTTGTACACTGAGCAGCCCCAGGTTATTATGCTTTTTACATTCAACTTCTCCTCTTTGTTTCGTTTTTCCCTCTCCTATCATTTCCAGCTGTCACTTGCAAGTGCCCACAGTGGGCCTGCCCTGGGCTGTTCACCGCCATTGCGCCTTTCAGAGTTCTTGTTTCTCATCAGCCGTAGGCTTAAATGTCATCATCGTGAATACTTTGCTTATCCGAGGTCACTTTTCTGGCATCTTCAATTAGTCATTGCACAAGACAAGACCCTGAAAGCAAAACAAGTCCTCAAGCAGCTCGGCGAGATGCAGCAGCTTCCTCAATGGAAGGGTGTGTAAAATGGCATGCGTGTGCAGCTCCACTCGCCATTATTTGCACATGGATTGTGTGTCTTACACGTTCACATCTGCGGAGTCCCCTCTGCTCCCTGTGTGCTCTTGGCCCAGCTATCTGTTATTGCAGTTGATTTTTGTTTCAGTAATGGAAATGATTTTGAAATTATAGGTAAAGCAATCAGGGAGTGTTGTTGACAAGTAAATTAGGAAGTAGAAGTAAACATTTAGGAAATTAAGTCTAGAGATGAATATCTTCTTGCATTATTTGTAATGTTAGGTATTTCTGTTCCATCCCTCATATATAATTCAGAGTTGAAAACATGTATAAAATGCAATATTTGCATGTATACATTTAACCTGAAATAGATATGATGTAACATTAAAATGAGGTATTTAGAAAGATTATTTTAAAATATGAAAATGTATAAAATGATTACCTTTATCATATTAACTTTAAAGCTTATTGTGATAGCAGTAGAATCTCCTCCCCCCCCCCCCCCACCAGCTTCCGAACAGAATTCTTGAATGCCTTTTTTTAACACTCAGGAAATATGCCTGTGTTACTAGTGCTCTTAGGAATGAAGGGAAGGAAAAAATTAAGGAAAAAACCTAGGCTTTAAAGATCTCTGCAGCATTCTTTAAAAACCAAGCCCCCGTTCCCTCCTCCCTCAGCTGTGTCTCTCCCCTAGTCATCTATATCCATAGCAACAGGCCCTTGAACCTTTATGTCGTCATACTAGATAATCAGGGTTGTTCCTTTTTGTTGAAGAGAAGGAAACTGAAAAGACTTCAAAACTAACCAGAGATGGAGAATTTGAACTTTTGGGAACTCAATCTATGCTTGGCTAATTGATTTTTACCCTTCTGACTTCTGTTCTCTTTGGACCTGATCGTTCCTCCCTTGTGGATATTTAGAAATTTACAGCCCCCACCCCCAACGTAATAATCAACATCACACCATTATAAAGTAAACAAACAAAACCCAGGCAAGGGGCAAAAAGTCTATTTTGCCTTTTATTTTTCTGCATATTATCTTATCTTCAGTTATTTATGAAAGAAACTCCAGCATTGAGAATCTCTGAAAAATCACTGTAACTATTTAAAAACCACATGGGTAGAGAAGCAGGTCATCCATGGGAGGGTGACTTGTCATTGCATTAGAGACTCGCAGCTCTGGCAAAACTGAGGCTCGCTGTTTGCTCCCAGGCTATGTGCCTGCAGGTTACAAAAGTGACTGCCAGGTGGATAGGGGCACCTCTGTCAGCCTCTGATCAGAGCCGCAAGGTGTTATGTGCCCTGAGGCGTGGATAACCAAGAAGAGGGAAATAGGGCTCATTTGTCTATTTATTCATTAGCTAATAACTTTTTTAAAAACAACAAGTTTGAATGTGTTTTGTCTACTTATACTGATGCTGTTTGTGACAAGCTTTAAAAATATATTTCTAAATAAAACCTATTTTCTTGCCTAGAGTCTGGGAAGACCAAGACCTCTGGCTTGTACATAGGTCTTTAGGTTTGAAATTCAGGTGGTTGCCTTACTTCTATCCCGCAGGAAACCATTGTGACTTAACCCTGGAAAAAAAACATGGGCTGCATTGGCCCTTCTGTTCTGAGTTACAAGTTATATATTCTTTCTATTGTTATAAATAAAAAGAAAAGAGGCAAAATGTAGCAACAGCACATTTGTCCAATGCCTTCCCCTTCCATTTCAGCTTGGAGAACGGTTGCTTTCTTGGCAAGTCTCTGAATTATTTAACTTCTTCTTAAAGGGCCAGAGGCCACATGTTCCATGGCATTTTAAAACATGAGGCAGAATGCAGCCATTCCATTTCTTTTGCTATACATGGAAAATGGGTATCTTCGCCATGCTGGGAAGCGGTCCGGATGCCTGTCCTGGCAAGTCACTCCTCACAGACGCCGTGGCAGATGATGACCAGCTTGTCTCCTCTTGAAACCTTTTGCTCTTTGAGGGCTTACTCGGCGCAGTGCAGCTCTCTGTCCCTGGTGTTTGCATGGCAGACAGGTGGTCATGGTGCACTAGAAAAGGTCTGGGCCTTGAACTCGGACGCCTGGAATTCTACTGATTGATTACTGTGTACCTTTGGGGATCATTAAATAGCATCTCTCCTCATTGACAAAATGGGGACAGTAATACCTATCCAGCGGCATTGCTGTAAGAATTAGATAAGAGGATGTAAAGCAAGAATCTTAGTATCTGGGACTTCACTGGGGCTCACTAAATGGTGGCTGGTGTTAACTGTGACAGAGTAGGACTCCTTTTAATCCTGTTTAGCCTACCTAGTGTTCTCACTGAGGCTCAGAGAGGTTGAGTGCTTTGCCTCAAATCACAGAGCAAAGAGAGGCTGAAGCTGAGCGCTGTTCGAGTTAGCGCCGCGCCCCGTCCCTCTCCCGCTGCCGAAGAGTTCTGCTACAAAACCCATAGGGGAAAAGGACGCTTGAGAACCGCTCTTGCCTTTCCAGATCGAGAAGAAGAGCTAGTAATTATGGAACATTTTGAAGTGATTTTTTTTTCTTGCAAATACAGATCCCCAGGAAATTGCCAGCCTCCTGTTTCGTTTGTTTGTTTGTTTTTTCCCCGAGCTCAGAGTGTGACTGATGTTGTTGAGGCTCAGTGTTGGATGGGAAGTCCGGTCACGTCAATCATTGCATCCAAGCTGGAAGGTTTTAGGTTGAGATTTGGAGGACCAGTAACTTGAAATATTTGTGTAAGTTTTCTGATGAAATAGAAAACCCAACTGACTGTTTGTGTGTCTTGCTGTTTCTCAGGCAACAGGAGGAGGATATGAAAGTGATGATGCATATCATAACGCCGAACTTTTCTTCTTAGACATTCATAACATTCATGTCATGCGGGAATCTTTAAAAAAAGTCAAAGACATTGTTTATCCTAATGTGGAAGAATCTCACTGGTTGTCCAGTTTGGAGTCTACTCATTGGTTAGAACATATCAAGGCAAGTATATTTTGAAAAAAGTACATACCTAAACAAGAAAGTCATTGTTTAGTGGGACAGGAATCTTTTTTTAATTCCTTCAATTTTTTTTTTTTTTAAGATTTTATTTATTTATTTGACAGAGAAAGACACAGCGGGAGAGGGAACACAAGCAGGGGGAGTGGGAGAGGGAGAAGCAGGCTTCCCGCCAAGCAGGGAGCCTGATGTAGGGCTCGATCCCAGGACCCTGGGATCATGACCTGAGCCGAAGGCAGACGCTTAACGGCTGAGCCACCCAGGCGCCCCTAATTCCTTCAATTTTAAAATTGAGCAGTGACAGATGAAATAATTGTTGTATAGTGTTCTACATTTGACAGTTTTGTACCTCTTCATAAAATGCTTACCTTAAGTTAAAGATTTCACAACATCACTCCAGAACAGTTTGAGAGTTTGTGGAGATGTCACTTTCCATCTTGTCAGTAGTAAGTTAGTTCGGTCTTCCATGCGGGTTTGTTTAGAAACAGCCAGTTTATTATCCAACCATTACTGGGTATGACCCTCAAGGACCTAAAGAGAGATTTTTTTTATTGAAACTTATCTCAAATTGACTTACTTTAAAGAATGAACTTTGTGCTTAGATTATACTCAATCCTTCATCTTGATAAAAGCATCAAAAACTTCCAGTCTTTTAAAGTACTTGAAGCTATCTGAGGGAACTAATACCTTTAGAAGGTACCTTTTCGTTGTGTAAACAAACAAAGAGCCTATGTTAAATAGGTGCATTATTAATATAAATTGTTTTCTAGTCAAATTTTACTTTCAAACTTGATAGGAATCATATTTTTATTTGGCCTGTCTGACTTTCATTTTTTCTTAATTTGTCATTCTCAAAAATGAATTGCAAAACCAATTAATTGTAACAGCTAAGGTAATGTGGGGTCCTAGATGGGATCCTGGATTAGAAAAAGGACACTGGGTGAAAACTAAGGAGACCTGAATAAAGTACGGACTCTATTAACAATAAGTTAAATTTATTAATAATTGAATAACATGTCAATATTGGTTCACAGGTTGTGGCAAATGTCAGTGATAGGGGAAACGGGGTCGAGTATATGCAAACTTTCTGTAGTACCTTTATAACTTTTCTATAAACCTAAAACTACTCTAAAATAAAACATTTATTTTTAGGAAGTATTACACTCTTTATAGGCAAAGCATCACGCTAGATCCTATGAATGGAAAAAGGTATGAGACGTACTTCCTGCCTTTAAAGAGGTTTGTACGGTTGAAGAGGTGACATGCACATGTGGAAGGAACAGGGCCTTTGGGATTTGGTGGGGCTTGAAAGCAGAAGGGACGAGGGGACCCATTCTAGAGAAAGAGGCAGTCTGGACAAAAACCCAGGAACAGGCCTGGGTGAGGCCTAGTTGGGAAGAGTAGACTCCTACTCCGAGCTAGACAGGAGAGAGACTGGTCAGAAGTAGGTCTTCTTCAATGGCTCAGGTATCTGAGGAAATTAGGAGTCAAGGCCATCTGCATAAGATGCAGTATGGAAGTTAGGACCTATGGAATATGGAAAATGCTGTAAAAGGCCCCTGTAAGTTTTTATAGGCTTGTCCAAAGAGAGGGAGATACGAAAGAAATGAAAGAAACTGTCGGTGTTCTCTGGCGAGGCCAGCTGTAACTGGGGAGCCCAGATAGACACCTTAGTGACCTCTGACTCAGGGTTTCTCAGGCATAAGTCACATTGTGCTAGAAGATGGGGGAGCACACGGCATCAGGGAAATCCAAATCAAAACCTCAATGAGATACCACCTCACACCAGCCAGAATGGCTAAAATTAACAAGTTGGGAAACGACAGATGTTGGCGGGGATGCAGAGAAAGGGGAACCCTCCTACACTGTTGGTGGGAATGCAAGCTGGTGCAGCCACTCTGGAAAACAGGATGGAGGTTCCTCAGAAAGTTGAAAATAGAGCTGCCGTACGACCCAGCAATTGTACTACCGGGTATTTACCCCAAAGATACAAATGTAGTGATCCGAAGGGGTATGTGCACCCCAATGTTTATAGCAGCAATGTCCACAATAGCCAAACTGTGGAAAGAGCCAAGATGTCCATCAACAGATGAATGGATAAAGAAGAAGTGGTATATATATACAATGGAATATTATGCAGCCATCAAAAGGAATGAAATCTTGCCATTTGCAACGACATGGATAGAACTGGAGGGTATTATGCTGAGCGAAATAAGTCAATCAGAGAAAGACATGCATTATATGACCTCACTGATATGAGGAATTCTTAATCTCAGGAAACAAACTGAGGGTTGCTGGAGTGGGGGGGTTGGGAGGGGTGGGGTGGCTGGGTGATAGACACTGGAGAGGATATGTGCTATGGTGAGCACTGTGAATTGTGTAAGACTGTTGAATCACAGTCCGGTACCTCTGAAACAAATAATACATTATATGTTAAGAAAAAAAAAGAAGAGTAGGAAGGGAAAAATGAAGGGGGGGAGATCGGAGGGGGAGACAAACCGTGAGAGACTATGGACTCTGAGAAACAAACTGAGGGTTTTAGAGGGGAGGGGGGTGGGGGGGATGGGTTAGCCCAGTGATGGGTATTAAGGAAGGCACGTACTGCATGGAGCACTGGGTGTTATACGCAAACAATGAATCATGGAACACTACCTCAAAAACTAATGATGTAATGTATGGTGACTAACATAACATAATAAAATAAAATTTAAAATAAAAAGGGGGAGCAGAGATATGGGTAGCCTTGAGCTGGACCTTGAAGATCGAGTGGGAATCAGCAGGGGTGGGGGCACATTTGGGCTGTGCTCCTTCTGGAAGCTCTAGGGGGAGAGTCTTGTTCCTTGCCTCGTCTAGCTTCAGGTGGTTGCTGGCATTCCTTGGCTGTGGCCAAATCGCTTCATTCTCTGCTTCTGTGATCCCATTGCCTGCTCTCTGTGAAATCTCCCTCTGCTCCTTCTTATCAGGATACATGGGATGTAATTTAGGGCCCACCTGCATAATCCAGGATAATCTCTCCATCTTAGAGTCATTATCTTGATAACATCTGCAAAGTCTGTTACCATACAAGGCAGTGTTCACAGATTTCCAGGGGCTAGGACCGGGACATCTTTGGTTGACCCATTATTCAGCCTCGCACACTATTTTGCAGCCCCAGGACTGCCGACAGACACATGGCATGGCCACCACTAACCTGCATTCAGGCGAAATGGTCCCGCCACTCTGTGCAAAACAGGGCAAGGTTTGCAGGCGAGGAGACCACCACCACCTTGGCATATGTCCCATATCCTCATCCTAGTCCGTCAACGGAGCCCCAACAGGGTAGAATGTCTCTGTGGTTTCTGGAGCTTACAGTTTCTGTCTGTCCTTTTCAACACTCTTGCCCTATAGCCCTTCCTGTTATTTTGTGTTTCTTAGAATGTGGCTAGCCGGCAGCCAACATTCATTTGAACCCATGCCCCATGTCATCACTTTATGGGGATTCTTTCTTTTAGGCCAAGACAAGCTGGTGGTGGGGATACCATTTGTCCCCTCGCTTCAGAGAGAAAGGAACCACGGTTCTGTGATTGGCTCAGTGGGTGACATGTCAAAAGTGGTGGAAGGAGGTTTCAAACCCAGGCCTCCAGGCCATTGAGCCAGCGTGCCATACACTGCCTTCCCGTCAGTCACAAGTCCATCTGATTATCAGCTTCCAGTGGTATTTTTGAAAATCTGATTTCATTTCACTAGATAACTAGCAGCATTCCTGTTGAGAAGCAATGGTGGGAATTCATACTTTATTGGAAAACATCTAATATTTTTAAAGATGACGGACTGAGACTGTATCCCCTTTTCATAAGGGAAGTGTCTGGAGTGAAGTCACCCTCTGTAAGAGGGCAGTAGCAGCTCAGCTTCCTTAAGTTGAATTCAAGTGATCTGCTATATTTCTGTTGCTGCTCAACAGCCCTTTCTTCAGAAGTGCCTCAAATTAAAATTATAAACAGGATTTTGAGGAGATACTTAAAATGCTTGAAGAACTAAAGCTGCTCTAGTCAGTTTAAAAGCGAGGACTTCTGTACGAATAATTGATGTGCCGTCAGGTCCCCTCACCTGTCCTTCTCGGCACTACTTTGTCCACTTATCTGCAGTTACTGTTTATGTCAAAATAATGAAAGTACATAGCTTCAGAGGCACCTGGCTGGCTCAGTCGGTGGAGTATGGGACTCTTGATAGCGGGGTCATTAGTTCAAGACGTACATTGGGCGTAGAGCTTACTTAAAAAAATAAGTAAATCAAGTTAAAAAAAATAACAGAAAGTACATGTCTTTAAAGTTCTTTATACTAGATCTTTCACTTAGTCTGATTTTGCCTTGAATCCGTGAAAATGACCATAATACATGGCTGTTGGAGAGCTGTTAGGATTTGGGGGGCTCCAGAAATGGCATCATGTATGTGAATGGCTGATGAGCACGTGAAAACATGGAGCCCTCATACACTGACAGTGGCAATGTGAAATGGTCCAACCACTTTTGAAAACAGCTTAGCAGTTTCCTAAAAAGTTAAATAAACATACATTTACTGTATGATCCGACCATTTCACTCTTCGGTATTTACCCAAGAGAAATGAAAACTTAAGTCCCTACAAATCTGTGTGTGCGAAAGTTCATAGCAGCGTCATTCATAGTAACCAAATGCTAGAAACAACCAAGTGTCAATCAGCTAAGGAGTGGATAAGTAACATATGACCGGTCCATATAATGGAATACATCTTGGCCATAAAAAGGAAGGAAATACGGACGCAGGCTACAACACAGATGCACCTTAAAAACATGATGCTAAGCGACAGCAGCCAGACATGAAAGATCACCTATTATATGATTCCATTTAGATGACGTTTCTAGTAAATGCAGAACTATAGAGACAGAAAGCAAATCCATGGCTGCCGGGGGCTGAGGGTGGGAGCAGGGATTGACCTCAGGTGGCACACGAGACTTTGCGGCTGATGGAAGCCCTCTACAAGTGGATTGGGCTGATGCCCATGCAGCTGTATACATTTATGCCGTCTCATCAGACTGCACACTCATGATGGGTAAAGTCCATGCTTCATAAAGGATAACTCCATAAATACCGAAATCATCCAAAAATGACATCCTAGCAATAACTCTTTGTATACATAAGTTTAGTAGTATTTCTACGTCTCAAACGTTTACCAGAAGGCTGTCACTTTATCTTGACGTAGATATTCTACTTACAAGCCACAGAATAGTTCATATTTTGTCAATTTAAAGGCTAAAAGGTGATTTCCCTTGTGTCAGGCCTTTAAGGTCTAGACTAGACCTGTTGGGCCAGTGATTTTTCTAAAATGATCGCTGCTATGGGTTGAATTGAACCCCGTCCCCCCAAAATTTCATCTATTGAAACCTTGACCCCCCAGGACCTCAGAGTGTGACCTTTTTAGAACTAGGGTCCTTGCAGATGCAGTGAGTTCAGATGATGTCATACCGGAGTAGAGTGGGCCCCTGATCCAGTAAGACTGGTGTCTTTATTCAAAGGGGAAATTTGGACACAGAGACACAGGCACAGGGAGAAAATCGTGTGAAGATAGAAGTTTTGCTGCCACGAGCCAAGGAACTCTACCAGAGCTATGAGAAGGTCTGGAACAGGTCCTTCCCTAGAGCCTTCAGAGGGAGCCTGGCCCTGCCCACACTTTGGTCTCGGGCTTTTAGCAACATAATATATTCCTGTTGTTTAAGCCACAGGCTGTGGTACTTGGCAATGACAGCCCTCAGTACTCTAATCACATGAACTTTAAAGGAGTTTGAAATGCAGTTTGGCTTTGTGTGCATTGAGTTTGGTTGTTTTTTTTTTTTTTTTAATAACCTAGTCTCATTAGAATGCCATTGCCCCAGAGGAAGAGCAGCAGGCCCCACAGCTCCTGCTGTTCCATTTGCAGAAGGCTTTCTGTCCTAGACAGTAGCAGTTTTTTGAAAACATGACCTTTTCTGGGGTTAAAAACGATCATTTCAAATGTCAGCAGTATCTTACAGCTACCTCCTAATCACGTGTTCTTTGCCAGCTTGTTTTGACGGGAGCCATTCAAGTAGCAGACAAAGTTTCTTCAGGGAAGAGCTCAGTGCTTGTGCACTGCAGCGACGGCTGGGACAGGACCGCCCAGCTGACGTCCCTGGCCATGCTGATGCTGGACAGCTTCTATCGGAGCATCGAGGGGTTTGAAATATTGGTGCAAAAAGAATGGATAAGTTTTGGACACAAATTTGCATCTGTAAGTGAACAAAAAAGTCGATTTCTTAAATGTCACATCATTGCCATTTGAGATTTAGAGTAGTTGTTAAGCTTTTTTGTTATTTGCTTTTGAAAAGAAAATCTGAGGAGTCAAATGAAAAGTGTGTGCGATTCCTTGGGGGGGCAGTGAAAGTTGTTTTAGGAGACAGGTTTATCCATCTGCACTATTTATATTTTGACTCGAAAGTCATGCCAGGAGCCTGCATGGAAATGTTTACATTGAAATTGTGTGAAAGAAGGAAGGTAGAATGACCGTTCTTTCTCAGCGGTTATAGCTATTAGAACCAAATACATTTTACAGAGATGCTAGATTATTAGTTGAGGTTTTATTATTACTATTATTATTCTCTGATGCACCTTTTGAAAATTGAGAGAACCCATTAAAATTCATATTTCCAGGTCTTATTTCCAGATATACTTTGAAAAAGCCTTAAATAAAAAAAAGATTTATTTACTTATGTATTTGAGAGAGAACACACATGAGCACGAGCAGGGGGAGGAGCAGAGGGAGAAAGAGCACCTCCAGCAGACTCCCCACTGAGCGTGGAGCTCAATGTAGGGCTTCATCTCACAACCCTGAGATCGTGATCTGAGCCGAAGTCAAGAGTCAGACATGCTTAACCAATTGAGCCACCCAGGTGCCCCTGAAAAAGCCTTTTTAACAAGCTCCCTCAGATGATCCTCATCCATGTTTCCTAAGTAGTGTGAATAACATTTTCAAGTAGAAAGAACCATTGTTAATAAAAATAAACGGTGAGGCTTTTGTCTTGTCTTTAAGAGAGAAAAAACTTCACTTCCTAATAATCACACTGTTTTGGACATCGTTTCGAGGCTTCAGACTTGAGGGTTGGTCCCTTAGCGCTAGCTAACCTAACTGCAGGCTGAGCTGGCCCAGTCTACCTGCAGCTGCTGGTAGAAATAGCTGTGAATGTGATGATGCTTTGCCAGTTGGCATTGGGATGTTACGGATGTTTATACTGGATTTCCATTATTTCAAAACCTTTGCACATTTCTATATTGCCAAGGAAAAACATATACCATTTACTCTCTGAGAAACTTGGCATTTGGAAAGCAGATTGATGAGTTGTATTGTCACATTTTGTGGGTTATATATGCTTTCTCAGTTTTGTACCCGTAAATGAAAACAAATGGTCTTCATCCATTCATTTCAGAGAATAGGTCATGGTGATAAAAACCACGCCGATGCTGACCGATCTCCTATTTTTCTCCAGTTTATTGACTGTGTATGGCAGATGTCGAAACAGGTAAGGGATATGTACAGGATAAAAATACATTTGACTTCACGTTTAAGTATTTTGATCTAATGTCCGGGATTTGCCTCACAGTACACAGGGCCGAGATAGAGATGAAACGAGTCTGGCCCTATGTAAGTCATTGTTGAAGCTGGGTGATGGGTACATGGGGTTTACGGTTTTATTCTTGCTATTTATGTCTGGGATTTTCCATAATGTTTTAAAATTTAAATATTTCACTGCATCCTCTCTCCTAATGGAATTGACAGTCCCAAGTCGTCTTTTCCATTCCCTCTGTACCGGCTTATTGTACATAGGACACCATCAATGAAGAAACTACCCTGTACGCTCAGGAGAACCCAGAAAATCTGCTTGTTTTCCTTTGATTCCTATACTTGACACTCCTTCAAACTCCTCAGTCCTGTGCAGAGCACCAAGAAATGTAGGGTGTGTGCGGGTAGCAACCTCCACTGGCCTTCCTGAAAGGCTACAAGGGGGCATCAGGTATACACCTCTTTTCAGTCTATGAAAGATCAGTCCCAAGTTTTCATTCTTTGTTGGCGTGTTTTTGTCTAGTTCCCTACAGCTTTTGAATTCAACGAACGATTTTTGATTACAATTTTGGATCATCTGTATAGTTGCCGATTTGGTACTTTCTTATACAACTGTGAATCTGCTCGAGAAAAACAGGTGAGTGGAAATGGTAATCTGTTGAGTTGAATGTGTCTAGTCTTCCATGAATTAAAAAAAAAAAATATATATATATATATATAGCTTGATTTGTGGGAAATGCAGAGGGTTTGTTGAGTGTCTGGCATTTACTGCAAGGGTGAGACATTGACTTTGCCTTCGGAGAGTAGGAATGACTTTAAAGGTATGGAAGGTCTCCCTCCCAAAACACCATAAAAACGTCAGGAAAGGGCATTGTTTTAAAGGCATAAACCTCTAAGAACAGGGAAGATGAGAAAGGAGACATAGCAACCAAATTTGGGAAGCCAAAAAGTTTGTAGATGACTTAGCTTGAGAAACGGAGTCTCAAACCAGCAGCGGGGAAGCCGAGAAGCAGCCCCACCTGGCATTGCGTAGAGCCCCAGATGACTCGGGGTCTGGGGCAAAGGGGGAAAGATAAGGCAACCTGCAGTTCTGTTTGGAATAAGCAGTTAGCTTCCCCAGACCCTGTCTCCTCTTCTCTGGAGCTGATGACTCTGACAGAGGTTTCTTCTCGAGAGAGCATGAAAGTGGCTCTCCGGGCTGGGGACCCGAGTGTCATCAGGGGGTGAGGTGAACGGACAGGAGCTCACTCTCCCTACTGACTCCCAGCATTCTGGCAACAGGTCCTTACATTCTGGGTGGGAGCATGGAAGAACCTTCTCCGTTGGCGAGGGTGGGGGGAGAAAACGGAGCCCTCATACGCTGCTGTTGTGGCAGAAAGCTAAGCAGAGAGTGTCCTGTGACCCAGCAATGCCACTCGTAGGCACATACCCAAGGGAAATGAAAACAGGAGATGAAACAAAAAATCAGGGCGCCTGGGTGGCTCAGTTGGTTAAGCGACTGCCTTCGGCTCGGGTCATGATCCTGGAGTCCCGGGATCGAGTCCCGCATCGGGCTCCCTGCTCGGCAGGGAGTCTGCTTCTCCCTCTGACCCTCCTCCCTCTCATGCTCTCTGTCTCTCATTCTCTCTGTCTCAAATAAATAAAAAATCTTAAAAAAAAAAAAAAAGATTAAAAAAAAAAAAAATCACCCACAGATGTTCAAAGAGCTAAAAGGTGGCAACAACCCCAGGGTCCGTCTGCTGAGGACAGGATAAACAGAATGCGGCCTAGCCGTACGCTGGACTATTATTCAGCCGTAAAAAGGAAGGAAGTTGTGACCCGTGCTACAGCGTGGACAAACCTTGAAAACATGCTCAGCGAGGGGAGCCAGACGCAAAAGCTCACAGATGGCATGATTCCATTTCTAGGAAATGTCCAGAATAACAAGGCCATTACAGCAGAAAGCAGATGAGTGTTTGCCGGGGGCTGGAGGGAGGGGAGAATGCGGAATGCCTGCTTAGTGGGTACGAGGGTGATGAAGAGCTCTTGGAACTTGAGAGAGGTGGTGGTGGCACAACTGAATTGTAGACTTTAAAGTGGTGAATTTTACGGTATGTGAACCCCACCTCAATTTAAAAAAATCATCCCTGGGGAAACCGACTAGCCCAAGAGGAAGGACTGAAAGATAGCAACACCCAGGGTTCCCCACAGTGAAGCTCATGTCAGTGAGCCTCGTGATCCCAGAGCTTCCAGTCAGCTCTTCAGTGCTCCACTCTTAAATAATAGCAGATAGCCAGGAGAGAGAAAAGCAGCTTGGAGAAAATGGTTACCAGGTAGGGAGGGGGGAGACGTAGACCGGCAGCTAGCATCGAATATGCCAAGAAAGATAAGAAAATATTGGTACCGTGAAATAATAACAGGATGTTGTTTGGAAAGAATATGTAGAGATCAGAAAACAACTTGAAATGAGAAGAGGTTAAAAACTCAGAAGAAGGGACGCCTGGGTGGCTCAGTCGGTTAAGCGGTTGCCTTCGGCCCAGGTCGTGGTCCCAGGGTCCTGGGATCGAGTCCCACATCGGGCTCCTTGCTCAGCAGGGAACCTGCTTCTCCCTCTCTCTCCCTCTGCTAGTGCTCTCTCTGTCAAATAAATAAAATCTTTAAAAAAACAAAAAAACAAAAAAAACTCAGAAGAAGAGTTAGAAGCTGAAGTGGAAATCTCCCAGAAAGAGCATTAGAAACAGAGGTAGAAGATGGAAAGATCAGCAAACTAGATCAGTCCTAGAGTCCAATATCCACATAATAGGGCTTCTAGAGAGAGAAACTGGAGAGACCCCAGAGCAGGAAATCACCAAAATAATTTGAGAATATTTCCCAGAATTGAAGTATGTTAAGTTTCCACATTGAAAGGCCTGCCACGTGCCCAAGCATGGTGGACAAAAATAGGCCCGTGCTAAGTAAGGCCCATCTTTGTGAAGTTTCAAAACACCAGGGACAAAGAAAAGATCCTTCAAGCTTCCAGAGAGAAAAGGAATGGACCATTTGCAAAGAAACAGATCAAGAAGGCAAAATTTTCAATAGCAGTATCGGAAGCTGGAAGTCAGTGGAACATTGCCTTCAGAATTTTAAAGGAAAATGGTTTCAACCTAGAGTTTTCTAGCCACCAAACTGTCAACCAGGTTTTTAGGTAGACCAAAGATATTCTCAGACATGCATGGCATCAAGAGTTCCCTCCCACACCAAACCCTTTCTCTGGAAGCTGCTGGAGTGTCGGCTCCATGCAAACAAGAAAGAAGACTGTGGGGGTGCCTGGGTGGCTCAGTGGTTAAGCGGCTGCCTTCGGCTCAGGTCATGGTCCCAGGGTCCTGGGATCGAGCCCCGCATCAGGCTCCCTGCTCCACGGGGAGCCTGCTTCTCCCTCTCCCTCTGCCCCTGCTTGTGTTCTCTCTCTCGCTGTGTCTCTCTCTGTCAAATAAATAAATAAATAAATAAATATCTTAAAAAATAATAATAAAAAAAAAAAAAAGAAAGACTGTGGAACTCAGGAGAGAGAGGCAACGGGATGCTCAGGGCGAAACGGAAAGGAGATCGTGGGTGCAGGCCGGGCACGAGGCACGGGGGCAAGCAGTGTGGCTTGCTTTCCTCTGAGGAAGAAACTGGGGACGCCAGAGGTGCTGAGGGTCTTGACACAAGTTTGAGACATTGGAGGAAGAGTTGGGGGTTGAATTCATGATAAATGCCAAGAAAAGTTAGCACACAGAACAGATAGTTGTTAAATCGAGGGAAGACAAAAAAATTCGTGCGGGAGAAGAAATCACAGAAAGGGACTGTGGGGCCTGCCTGAGAGTAGCATTTGCTTCATCATAGGGATCCAGGCACTAAATGTCAGTCTCATGAGAGCTGTGGTGCATGTTGGGAGTACGAGGCGGGACAGACAAAGTAAGTGCCTGTAGCTCCACAGGCCCCGGGTAGCAAGGAAAGCATATTATCTAGAGATGTGGAGGTTAAGTACCAGATAGTCAAATAGATCAACTAAAAAAAAAAAATCAAACACAGTTGCTTGTGGGGAAGTGAGAGATAGCTGGGTTTTTTGTTTTGTTTTATTTTTTCTCATAACAAACCTGGTCAGGCTATTTGACTTTTTAAACTATGTGTATGTACAAAAATAAAAGCAAGCATGCAAATGAACTCAACACAGTATAGCTTGTACAAGTGAATGAAGTTTTAGGTGGATTCCAAGGCAGACAAATTTATGCTGCCGTATTTCTTGTTCACGTTAATGAAATATGTATGTTAAAGACATTTCTTCAGTCACTTAAGCTGTTCTTTTTTAGCTGCCAGTTTTAGCTTATTGGTCCTTTCTTATTGAAGTCATTACTGGGAAGAGTTTCAAAGTCTGCCTTCGATAATTTTAATAATTGTACCTTTTATTTCCCAAGCTTTGGGGTTTTTTTCTAGTTTACGCTCAAAATTGGTAAAAATCTCTAATAAACAGTGAAAATGTGAATATCTGTATGAGCTGATGGACACCAAATGAGAAAGTAAAGATTCAGTGAAGTCAGTTATCCACGTGTTTTCAAATATCTGCACGTTGGCATGATAGAGAGCGAACATCTGGGTGGTTGATTAAAAAACCTTTATATCTAGATACCTACTGTCAAGCAGGCACAGGTTAAGATTTTACAGTTCTAACAAATACAAAAATGAAGAAAGCCGATGGGATCTTATGATAATTTTTCTTTCTGCTGAATTATAAAGAGCATACTGCCCATCTGTTCATAAATCTTTTACCTAGCCAGGAATAGTCGTCTTAGGTCAGTGAATTGCATTTAATGGTACAGCATCCTGCTGTACCCATCGTGGCTCTCAAGCTAGGCCATTATCTATGCAAATATCAGTAAGTGGCTGCTGAACACTCACTGGCCCATGAGGCTTTTTGAGCTATTATGGGGGTAATGTAAATGTGTGATTCAAGTTGAGGCTGAAAAATGGTTTGTGTACTTGTATGTTTTTACTTAGGCTTCCTGCTTTCTCTTTCTCCATAGAAAGTTACAGAACGAACAGTATCTTTATGGTCGCTGATAAACAGTAATAAGGACAAATTCAAAAATCCCTTCTATACTAAAGAAATCAATCGAGTTTTATATCCAGTTGCCAGTATGCGTCACTTGGAACTTTGGGTGAATTACTACATTAGATGGAACCCCAGAATTAAGCAACAAGTAAGTGAAGTGACATTATTAAAATGCAGTGATGTCTACTGATTATGACTTCTGGATTTAGATTAATGTTACTCGGTAGTGGGGGTTTTTTTGTTGTTTTTTTTTTCATATTATGAGGGGGGGAATAAAAAAATCACACTTGCTTTCAAATGCAACTTTAATTAAAAATTGTTTTAATTACTGAGCTACTTATTTTGATTGGTGTTAAACTTATATTCTTATAAATAATGTAATTTTTTTTTTACTAAAATGTAAAATGATTGGAAGCTCTGGAAAATTTTTGAGTCTTGATTGCTAAGGATTTCCTTCAATTAGTGGACATTGTTACACATAATAAGAAAATTCTTTCCAGTGAGTAGACTTTGATGATCCTCAAGGAAAAAAAACATTTTCTTCTGTCTGCTTCAGGTGTATGTACTGGGTCAGCTAACATCAGAGTGCATTTCACTGAGGATATTTACTTCTAAAATAAAGATAATTGATCTGTCAGTGGATAGTACATTCAGTTGGCCATTTATCAATCAAAAAGAGAAACAATGATTTTTGAAGCAAAAGAGTCCCCATTTTGTTAAGGACACACTCGGGCTTTCCATTCTCCCACCTCCACTTTATCCAGAATCAGAAGAGAAACACAGCCTGTGTGTAAGGGCTCGGAAGTGCCTCCGGTTTGTGATGTGTTTTCAGGGCTATAAATATTCAGTATTTGCGATTGCCCTTTTGTAAAGGTTTGCACATTTTCCTGCAGTTTGGACGGCCAACTACCTGTTCTCACAGGCCAGTCTTGCGTAAGCGCCAGCTTTAATCCCGCTCGAAATCGCGGGGCAACAGCAGGGCCCGGGTGCTGCATTCTGTCTCTTAGATTGTTTATCCCACTCAGGCAGCTGGCTGCACGCCAGGCTGTGCCCTCTCTTCCATTGGGGAATGCCTGCTTCAAGCTGGCACTCTCGTTTCAAGGTCTCTGCTGATCGCATGGAAGGCTTCTGCAATTCAGTAATGGTGGAAACGTGTAATCTCTCGGAAAGTGACAGAGTCCAGGGCTTGAGAACACTCACTTGTTTAGTTTGAGATTTGAGAAGCACAGTGAGGGAATTTATTTAGCAGTAGTTCTAGCCTTTGGAATATCAAGTAAAGAGGAAATGGGAATTTTGCCAGGGTTCTAACTGCTGTTACAGAGGACATGTTCCTTTTCTCATAAAAAAAAAATACCATGTAAATGTGCAGTGTCTCCTATAAATTGACCCTTTTCTGTGTTTATTGTGACCTTTTTTAAAACATTAGTAATTAGAAAGTATCACCAATTTCTGTATAGATTCTCTAATCTCCCCTCACCTATTTGTACTTGGAGAAATTCTTAAAATACAGGGAATTTAGAGCAATTCATTTCTGAACATATAAAGGTAATAATTGTGTGACAAGTCAAGTAGGAAGAAACATTATTAGAATAACTTACTAGAGTGTATCTACCCCCTTATTTTTATGGAGGTTAGCAAAAAATGGAACTGGGCCAGTTAGGAACACACATTTTTTTTGATAGAGGTTTCTATTTTGAGACAGTAATTGGTCTGCATTATGATCTGTGAAATTTACTCCAAAAAGAAAGTAACTTATCCTTTCTATATAGATTTTTCTGAACGTGGAGGGTACTACACATATCTTTGTATTTTCAGGGCAGCGAGGGGAGGGGCTGTGGAGCACACAGGGTGCCTAGAAACATAAGCCGGTGATGGTAGTGCTCGGGGAGAAATGTCATCATGGAAGGTGTGAATTAAATGCATTACATTTCCTTAAAGATCTCCTGTAGAACATTATTTCATTCAGAAATAGATTTAAATCGGATCACATAGGACTTTTTAAATTAGTAAACCTCAAGGAATATACTTAATCACTTAAAAGTTAAATTGTTGGGCACCTGGGTGGCTCAGTCGGTTAAGCAACTGCCTTCAGCTCAGGTCATGATCCCAGGGTCCTGGGATCAAGTCCCACATCAGGCTCCCCCTGCTCTGCGGGGAGCCTGCTTCTCCCTCTGCCTCTGCCTGCCACTCCCCTGCTTGTGCTCTCTCTCTCTGTCAAATAAATAAAATCTTTAAAAAAAAAAAAAAGTTAAATTGTTGTTCAGTTGTGTGGCCCAGTTGGTATACAAACAATTACTGGGTACCTGTCGCATTCACAGCCCGTCCCTCTAATGAGCTCTGGCCTAGAAGAAGGCAGGGTCAGTGTGCTTTTTAAAAGCAAAAACCACCAACCATTGCTGCGACATAAAAACTGAGCGGAGTGGACGGAAAGAGCAGTGCTTACATTTGAAGAGCTATCGGGAAGCCCGTTTGGTACATGTATTAAGGTGAGGGAATTGCTCATGCCGGAAGCAAAAGTGTTCCATGAGTCCTGTTATAAGCCTGAATGAGGCCTTGGGCTGCCGGGGCGCCTCCTATTATGTATCCTTCAGCAGCTGCCGCCCTCCGGTAGCGGTTAAGCAGGCCCACGCTGGCGAGCTCACATCTTTGCACAGTGATCGCCAAAGGATGAGAACAGGGACAGTCAGATAGGAACAGGCTGACCCGTGTGGTGCTTCAGTCATTTCTGAGGGGAACGCCAAAAGGAGTGGGACTCTGAAAGCTGTTTGAAGGCCGAGATACTTCCATAGCCCGTGTCGTGTGCTGCGCTGAGCACACTCTGGACTTGCGTTCGGTCCCGGGGAGCGGCCGGGCTGTCGCTTTTGCAGGCGCTTGACTTTAAACTTCATTTCTTGTGATTTTGCCTTTTGGACTCTTTCCTTGTAGCCTCTCAGTGGTTTGTGTTTGTCTATAGGCTAATGGCTTCTGGATATTTTGTACCCATCACCAGACTGAATTCTCTTCATTTCGAATCATTTTTTGGTCTACTCTCTTGAGATTTCTAATTATACAGCCTTGTCATCTGCAGAAATGGTTTTTTACCTCTGATTCCTTTTTCTTGTCTAATTGTCCTTGCTGGTACAATAACAAACTGATTCTAATAGTCATCTGAAAAAAGGGAAATTTAAAAAATAGCCAGGACAGTTTTGGAGGAGAATATCGAGGAAGAGCTTGCCCTGCTCTTTGCAGGGGTCGAGCCCAGAAGCAGACTGCGCAGGTGGGGAGCCCCGGTAGGTTGATGCAGAGGGAAGGACCGGCGATGGTAAACTGGCCTCGCACAGCAGATCAACGTGGACATGTCTAAAATGGGTCTCCTGGTCCCGCAGAACCTGTTCCTCCTGCCATCTTTCCCATGTTGGTTCTTGGCAACTCCATCCTAGTCACTCTGGCCAGAAACCGGGGAGCCCTCCTCGACTCCCTTCTCTCTTGCACCCCTTTTGCAGTCTGTCGGCAGAGCCTGCTGGACTCGGCCTTCAAAGCCCATATGACCCCAGACCCTCCGTACCAGTCCCCCTGCTGCCGGCCTGGTGCAGGCCGTGTGGTGCTGCCTCGCCTTCTAGCTGGACTCCCTTCCTTCCTTCTGGTATGTTCTCAACATGGTAGCCAGAGCGATCCTTGTAAAGTACATCCCGCATCCCACCGCCCCTCCACACAAAACTGTCCATGGAGCTGCTCACCTCACCCGGCACCAAAGCCCAGATCCCTGCAGTGGTTTCCAAGGCCTGAGCGGCATCCCACCAGTCCTGCACCTCTTACCCTGGTCTGCTTCCTTTCCAGAATGTTCCTCACCTTTGAACACCCCCTGGAACTCAGACTTGTGGTATTCTTTGCTTGTCTGTCTCCCTCTGCTGGAAGGAAAATGCCATAAAAATGGGGATTTGGGCCTCCTTTGTTCACTGATGGATCCCAAGTGCCCAGAACAGTGGCTGCCCTCAGCTGAATATACAGAGAAAAAATGGACAAAAGACATTAGCAGGTTGTGCACAGCATCTACTGGGTGTCACACACTCTACCAAGCATTCCTGTTCTTTTTTTTTTTTTAAAGACTTTATTTATTTATTTGAGAGCATGAGAGAGAGAGAGAGAGAGAGAGAGAGAGAGAGAAAACACACAAGCAGGGAGGGCAGAGGGAGAGGGAGAAGCAGGCCCCCTGCTGAGCAGGGAATCCGACGCGGGGCTCAATCCCAGGACCCTGGGATCATGACCTGAGCTGAAGGCAGATGCTTAACCGACTGAGCCACCAAGGTGCCCCCAAGCATTCCGGTTCTAATGCCACATGTGCCTTTCTGAAAAACTTCACATTCTGCAGTCACAGTAAAGAAACAGGGCTTACAGGAAGAATAGGATTAGGAGCAAGGAGGAGACCTCTTCCAACCTGTGGACATTTGTAACCAGAGCTCTAATGGAAACACCAGTGCGGGCCCCTGGCTGGCTCAGTCGGGAGAGCATGCAACCCTTTGTCTCAGGGCTGTGAGTTCGAGCCCCACGTTGGATGTAGAGGTGACTTAAAAGTACAGTCTTAAAAAAAGAAAGGAAAGAAAGGGATGCCTGAGTGGCTTCGTTGGTTAAGCATCTGCCTTCAGCTCGGGTCATGATCCCAGGGTCCTAGGATCGAGCCCCGGAATTGGGCTCCCTGCTCAGTGGGGAGTCTGCTTCTCCCTCTCTCTCTGCTGCTCCCCCTGCTTGTGTGCATTATCTCTCACTCTCTTTCTCTCACAAATGAATAAGTAAAATCTTTAAAAAAAAAGAAAGAAAAGAAAAAGAAACACCAGCGCCACTAGAAACGTGGGCACCATCACATGTCTGTGGCATTTTTATCTGGCCTCTGTCGACCACTCCTTGGCAGCTTGTGGTGGGTCGAATGGTGTCCCCCTAAAAGACATGTCCACTCTGAACCTGGGAATGTGACCTTATTTGGGAAAGGGGTCCTTAGAGATGTTACTAAGTTAAGGATCTGAAGATGCCATCCTCCTGGATTTGGAGTGGGCCCTACATCACGTGATAGGTGTCCTTGCAAGAGAAAACAGAAGGAGATTTGAGCCGCAGACACTTAGGGGGAGAAGGTGCTGTGGAAACAGAGGAGGTGGGAGGGATGCAGCCACAAGCCAAGGAAGCCTGGACCCCCCCCCCCCCCGAAGCTGGAAGAGGAGAGGAAGGAGCCTGCCCTGGAGCCTCCAGAGGGAGCACAGCTGTGAGAAAATACATTATCTGTTGTGTGAAGCACTCCCCGCCCCCCCGTTTTGTGTTCGTTTGTTATGGCAGCCCCAGGAAGCTCAGACACAGTCTTAACCCCCAGGGTTCCTGCTGTCTCCTCGAGGCTCTGGTGCAGCCCGCTCTCCTCCACATTACGGACCCAGGCCAGGGTGCGGCCTGCTTCATCAGTGCGTTGTCTCCACAGCTTCCATGTTGGGGCTCATAGCGTGACGCGGTGGAAAGCAGGATGGTTCCAGAAGCCACTAGCGCTGAAGGAATGCACTTCCGTAGACTTTTGGCCTTTTTCTTAATGTCTTCATATACTGCTCAAGCTTTCTAGGAGCTTGCCTTTAATCACCTCAAAACACGCTGGTGAGGGAGTCTTCTGGGGGCTGTCCTATCGCGTATCTTGGCCTGGGTGGGTGATCACATTAGTGTATGTCTATGTAAAGGCTCACTGAGCTGAACATTTTAAGCTTTGTACACATTCCTGTCTGTAATTCATACATCAGTACAAAGGTGTAAAAAGTCCGCACGCTCGGGAGCATCACTTTCTGTTCTAACCTGACTTCTAACCTCCGGACCGCCGCGAGACCCCCATTCATCAATGAAGCAGAACTGACCGTATTGGCTGCCCTCGCTCTCCCAGCAATCCCGTGAGGTCTGTGCCGTTTTTAGTCCCATTTCACCGGTGGGGAAATGGAGGCATCCAGGTTAAGTCCTGCAGCTGGTAAGAGCCAGACCCGAGACTGACCCTGAGCTAACGGGCGTCGGCCCTGCAGCTCGCAGCTCTGAGTTGACACGGGCAGTAGCACGTGAAAAGAGGTGCAAAGTAAAGCTGTCCTGAGATGCCACCTTATAATCACCAGATCGGCCCAAACCAGAAAACAATTACTCTTGTATCCCAAGCGCTGATGAGGACGTGGAGCACCAGACATCACTAGTGACGGAGTGTAAGGTCATACCGCCACCTCAGAGAACGTTCGGCAGCATGTGATAAAGCTGAAGAGACCATGCTGTCCTCCCCGGCAGGCCCCACCCCCACCCCCAGGAAACTGCCTTCAAGAACCATTTAGCGGATGTGCACGAGGACAACACAGCATTGCACATAGTAGGGGGAGCACTGGACATCCCCGGGTATCTGTCACTGGGGGAGTGCAGAGATCAGCTGTGCTTTATTCATTCAGTGGGACTCAACCAGGATCGAATTCAGAAACATGGGTGAAAATGCCAGGTGATAAATACAGAATACCACCATTAATGTAACTTTCACAAGATAGACAATAATAGCGTATTTTGTTTCCAGATACTCATGTACAGGAAAAGTATCATAAATCTGCACAGGAAAGAAGGCCACACGCCCATTTGAGAAGAGTTGTTGCCTCTGGGAACGAAAGAGGGCAGTGGGCCTGGGGCCGGGGGACACAGGAAACCGGAGCCGTGTCTGGGTTGATAAACCTTAAAAAGATGGCAAGCCCACGTGTACAAGAGCTGCTTTCTTGGTGGCGAAGAGCTGGGTGTTTTACCCTTGTACTTTTCTGTATTTTTGGCATCTGTACATTAAAGGTCAGTACGAGGGTTTCTTGTAACACCCGTTTGTGCTTCTTTCTAGCAGCCCAATCCAGTGGAGCAGCGGTACGTGGAGCTCTTGGCCTTGCGCGACGAATACATACAGCGGCTCGAGGAACTGCAGCTTGCCAGCTCGGCCAAGCTCTCCGATCCCTCGACTTCGCCTTCTGGTCCTTCACAGATGATGCCGCACGTGCACACTCACTTCTGAGAGGGAACCCCGGTGCCGTGGTAGAGCTCTGAATACAGGAGACGGTTGACGTTCATTTAGGGCCTCTGTACAAAGTAGATTAAAATAATTGCCTCCGTGTAGAACTTGAACTAACATAATCTTAAACTCTTGAATATGTGCCTTCTAGAATACATATTACAAGAAAACTAGTGTCTACAGGGCAATCAGAAGAAAGGAGCCAAGATGGGGTTTTGGAAAATCCTGACACCTTTCAAGAACAGTTTTTGAAAGATAAAATTGAAATTGAATTTACCTCTTTCGAAATACTGTGTATACAATACGTATTTTGTGGGCTTAATTGGAATGACATGATTTTAAACTTAAGTGAAAAAATATGTTTGTGAACCGGATTTTCCTTAGGCTGCTTCTAAATAGTTGCTTTGGAGTAAAACGAGCCCAAATGTGAAAGATGTTATTGCCAAAACCAGATCGAGCTCATCTTCTGAGGTATCATCCAAAAGCAAGGTGTTTAAATAATTGCCAAACTTTATACCATCGTAAGTGGCGGCTTAAAGAGAAATAGTTGTGTAGATGAGTTTTTCGTTATTTTGAAATTTTGGAATCTGAAGTGTTTTCCCCTAATTTTCAAGAGGAGCATATTTTTATATTACACTGATGGGGCCCAGTCAAATAGGATTTTTTTTTTTTAATTTTTTGCCAGTTCTATTTTCTAAGTTTTTCCATGAGCTTGCCTAAAATTCTGCTCCATTTTCAGGTTGTGGAAACCCCCTTATCTAGCACTGTTTGAGGATGTCGGGGGCATTATGCTGCTTTGGTGAATGTTTTCGCAAACGTCGCTCTAGTCAGACCAGCTTATCTGCCAAAGTGTGGGGTTGACCATCTTGGATGTATGAGCTGTTGCTAGAGCATCATTCTTTGAAATAAAAGCCACAGATGTACATTTGTTGAGCGTATTCTTGAAAGTATTGTATTTCAATTTACATGGTGTTGGATGCCCCTCCCCCCAAGCGTGCATTAAACTGGTTCTACAAATTTTTACTTGAAATGTACCCGGCGGTTTGCTTTTTCAGGTTTTTGGGGAGTTTTTTTTGTTTTGTTTTTGTTTTTGTTTTTGGTAATAGTACTAGTGGTAAATGAAGTTTCAAATGCAGTTCTATTTGATATCTGAACTAATTCATTTAGTTAAGTATATTTGTAAAAGTTAAGGCTAGAGTTAAAACAATTAATGTTTTACAGTGATTTGTAAAGGACTATTTATAGCTAATATGGTTTTGTTTTCAATGAATTAAGAGATTAAATATATATCTTTGTAAATTATTTTATGTCATAGCTTAATTGGTCTACCAAATAAGACATCTCAAATACAGTAGTATCGTGTATAAATTTTGTATGTATAAGAAATTTTATTAGACATTCTCTTGCTTTTTGTAAACGCTGTAAATATTTCATAAATTAACAAAGTGTCACTCCATAAAAAGAGAAAAGCTAATACTAATAGCTTAAAGGATTTTGTGAAATGTCATGAAAAAGTTTTCATGACAATAATGACTAAAAACCTGCTGTAATAAATGTATTAACTAAAATAGCACTCTGTTTTCAGGGGTGTAACTGTGTGTGTGGGGGGGAGGGGTGTTTGGGTGTCTTTTCTTTTCCTGGCTCAACTTCACATGCTCTTTGTCTTACTAGCAACCTTGCAGGCCCCTCCCAAAACTCAACAACATGGGACATTTAAGTGTATTAACGGTGCCAATTTTAAGCCACACCTGTCTTTCTTAAAGTCCGGAGAGCTTCCGCAGAAGAGCTAGGGTGCGTAGACGTGAGACTTCAGAGTCTGGATGCGGACCACAGCGGCCGGCGTTAAGGGAGGCTGAGACATTGGCGCGAGTAAGCCATAGTCGGTGTCTCTTGCGGTAAGAATTCAAAACTGTTGTCGAATAGTACAGCCGGTTGGAAATTATGTGCATTCTAAGAATGCTAAATAGTTCTAGCAGTAAACTAAAATTAACCATTTTTTGGAAATCTGAATAGGACTCTTAAAAGATGAAGTGTATCTTTGAAAACTCTGAGTATTTGAAATACTCTGCCAAGGTTCTTCCTCGACATTGCTGTGTTGAGTCCTCACTGCAGCCTCATGGGCTCCGTGGCGTTCTGGCATCCCTGTTTTCCAGCCCAGGAGAGTGTCGTTGAAACAAATGTGCACAGGCGTCACGCTGAATTCTGCATCTCTCGAGTTCCCAGTGAGTAGCCTTAGCTCTGCCATCGGGAATGAAATAGAAGAATCTCTCTTCCTGGGACAGCCCTTCAAATAATTTGGAATCATATATATTTTTGATAATGCAATGAAGCTTATCCTTCTTCTTTTTTGGTAGGAATAATACTCAAAACTCTCAAAACAAGCTGACTAGTAGTTCGTCACCTGCAGGTCTCTCCACAGAACACAGATTTGTGGTGTTGGTCATTTGGACAGCTCTTGTGGCGTGTGGGGCATTGGACGAAAGCAGGACCATATAAGGGGAATGTTCTTAATTATGAGAGTTTTTCACACAGTATCTACACCTGTGACTGGAGGACGTGGCCATCAGAGCAGAAGCACAGGGGACCCCCAAAGCAAATAAGAAACATATGCAAGGCGCATCCCACAAATAAGGAGGATTAGCACATCTGCAGGAAAATATTGTGGTTGAAATAGATTGCGGTTGAATTGTTGGAGGTTCACAGAATCCCTCACTAAAAGCACAATGCTGGAATACCAATACTTGAAGTGAGTCTAATCCTCCAACATCTATTGGTGGGCTTATAACTTAATTAGGGAATTGTTAGCGAAGTCTTTTGTATTAAGTGTATTTGGAAGATGAAAGATCAGCAAAACGAAGCATGCTCATTTCCTTATGAGGCTTAGATTCAGACATGGATTAGTCCTTATTTGCGAAGGCAATAATGTATTTAACCACATAGAGTAGCTACACATTTACACATGACTGTTAGGTCCTGACGGTTCATTTTCCAGTAGCTTTGGACAACATGACTTACTCATTTACAGCTGGTAATACTTATGTGCTTCTGAAATTGACTGCATTTCCCAGTGCATTCCATATAAATTACAAAAGAAAGTCATTCACCTCGTTTCGGGGGCCTGATCACACAAACTTGTCTTAGTCAGGATGCATGGAGATCTGGGCTTCTGTCTGAGCTCTGGAACTGCTTCTTGGATGGAAGGTGTAGGGCACTCCCAGCTCCCGGATGTGATGGATCTGGAGGCCTGGAGGAGGCCTCAGCGTCCACTGTTCAGCCAGGGTATGGGCTTCACGTTCTCGAAGGTTCCTTCCAGTTCAAATGGCCCTTCCCAGAAAATGCATTTTAATCACTCGTGCCCATATAAGATGTATGGCACAAAACAGCACTTGCCTCACATATTAGCTTCCTGTTTCTGCTACAAGAAATCACCACAAACTTAGTGGTGATTATCTTACAAGGCATTTGTCTTCTTACAGTTCTAGAGGTCAGAAGTCTGAAATTGGTCTCACTGGCCTAAAGTCAAGGTGCCGGCAGGGCTGCGTTCGTTCTGGAGGCCCTAGGGGAGAGTCCTTTTCCTTTTCCGGCTTCTTGTGGCCGCCTGCTTCCCCGGATCCGTGGCCCGTTCCCCTGTCTCTAAAGCCAACAGCAGAGCATCTTCAAATGTTCGGACTCTGACTCTTCTTCCTCCCTCATTGACATTTACAGGCCCCTGGCAACACTGGGCCCACCTGGATAACCTAGGCTAGTCTACCCGTCTCAGGGCCAGCTAACTGATAACCTTAATCCCCTCCGCTACCTTAACCCCCCTTGCTGTGTAAGCTACCGTATTCCCAGGTTCTGGGGATTAGGAGGTGGACATATTTTGGGGGAGGGGCATTATAATGCTTACTGTGCCTCAGTCCTTCCAGCTTCAGATGGCGGGTGAATGCAGGCTGAGAGAGGTCGAGACGCTGCTAGGCTGTCCCGTCACCAGCTATACAGTTACTTTAGGTAAAGGCCAGCTCCATCCATTTCGTGACATCTCAGAGAAAATCTAGCCTTCTAGTTGCCTCTGGCTTTGCCCCCGGTTCTGGCTATCCTTTCTATCCTTGCATCTATCCAAAGCCAGACCATGTGCTTTCAGTTCCCTTGGTCCCTAAATGGAGGAAAGGGAGCTGTTTACTGGGGGTATGTGTGCCGAACCCTATACTATCTAGCATCCCCACAGCCTTATAAAATTGATAGGGGTTTTTTTTTGTTTGTTTGTTTGTTTTGTCATTTTATAGATGAGACTAAGGCTCGGAACCAGGAGTGCTTTTATAAAGTAAGGTCACTTCAACAAAGACTGTCTACTATGACCCAGACCTGTGCCAGCCGTTTTTTATTTGGAAACAGAAATGAATAAAACAGTGGCCTCCTTCAAGGAGCGCCTGGCCTAGAGGGAAGACGGTTCGGTTAACGGCTAATTGCCGCCTGCTCTGACAAAGGCTGGGAGGTCAGGGAGGAACTTCTCGGGAATGCCGTCAGAACAGAGTCTTGAAAGTTAAGTAGGAGCTCAGTCACATCTGTCTTTGGAGAAATGCACGTTCAAACCACACTGAGATACTATCCCACACCCACATATTGGCAAAACTTTTAAAAGTCTGGCAATCCCAAGCATTAAAGAGGTTGTGGGCCGATAGGAATTCTCATACACTGCTTTGAAGAACAGTTGGCATCATCTGGTAAAATTGATGCCTACCCTATGATGTAGCATTCCCACTCTCAGGCATATAGATGCCCTTGAGAAATGAGAACTTCTATGCACCAAAAGACACGTACAAGAATATTCATTGCATTGTCTCTAATGCCCCCCCCAAACTTGAAACACCTCAAATACCCATCTACAGTAGAACGGATGAATTGTGGCGTATTCCCACAATGGAATTATACACACCCGGGACGAATGATCAAACCACAGCTACATACAACACGGATGACTCTCATAAGCTTGTTGGTTGAAAGAAGCCAGAAACAAAAGAATATATACAATAGTACTCCATTCGTTGAAGTTCAAAACCAAACAAAATCTTGTTTTGGCGTGTATACATGGTAAAACAACAAAGAGAAGGGAACAGTACAAATTGAAGGATCTGGTACTTTATTTTTTTTTATTTTTTTTTTAAAGATTTTATTTATTTATTTGAGAGAGAGAGAATGAGAGAGCATGAGAGGGAGGAGGGTCAGAGGGAGAAGCAGACTCCCCACCGAGCAGGGAGCCCGATGCGGGACTCGATCCCGGGACTCCAGGATCATGACCTGAGCCGAAGGCAGCCGCTCAACCAACTGAGCCACCCAGGCGCCCCTAGGATCTGGTACTTTAAACGTGATGCAGTATGTACAGAACCCAAAGAAAGTTGGTGTTCCCGGATCGTAAGGTGCACGGGACTAGGAGAGGATCGAGACGTAGGCAGGGGCTGGTCAAGGAACTCCCTCCGGGCTACGGTAAAGAACGGGTATTTCCTTCTCTAGGTCATAGGAGCCACTGAAGGGGTCCACTGGGGCAGGGGAGGGACGTGATAAAAA